GAGAGAGAGAGAGAGGCAGAGAGGGGGGGAGAGGAGGGAGAGAGTGAGAAAGGGAGAGAGAGGGAGAGGCAGATAGAGAGACAGAGGGAGGGAGACAGACAGAGAGATAGAGAGAGAAATTATATGACAAAACGTTGAATCCCAAACTTTACTGATGTCCATGGAAATCAAATCAACGCAATTTCTTTGCTGCTTAAATAAGGACCAAAAAAATAATAAAATATGAGAACCCAACTAGTTACAGAGAATTAAACATTTTATGCTTATGATAGAAAACTGCTCCTCAGATAAAAAGATTGCCCAAGTTTTGAGAAAGCCAGGGTATAGGCTGTTAACTCTCAAGAACAAAAGGAAACAACTTTACTTTCAACAAATACATCTTTTGTACCTAACATACCTGGTGCAGCATTTACTAATGCCACACAACTCATTTGAGAGAAAAAGGAGGAAAATAACTTTGATATGTCAAAATGTATCATTTTAAAAAATTGTTTATTAGATTAACTAATGTGAAAACACAGTTACATCAATTTGCACATACAGAAGGGCTCTAGTCAACTTGGTGTGTACATAAGACAACCTACAGGACCTTTCATTCTCACGTACAGAAAGTTGCACAAGAATCCACGCAGCCCCCACCCACATTTCCACCAGGTCGCGACCTCAGTGCTTTCTTGTCGTATCTTCATTTTTAATAACAGTGAAAACAGTTCATAACAAAGAGTGAGCTTATCCCTCTCCATACGTCATGTTTTACTATCGTATCCATACGACGTGAATATCTCTGAGCCCCTACTCTCCAAAGAGGAAATTTACTCGTTATTCCCATCTGTACGCTTTGCATAGCAGTCAGTCAAAATGATTTTTTGAAAAATACTGAAAGTTTCAAAGAGATCTTCGCACTAGAAGTATTATAAAATGTGAAGAATACATCCCCTGGGGTACAAAATGACCTCAGGCGTACAGATAGGATTCAGAAGAGGTCACATTTTCACTGTTTAAAGAAATGGAGATACGACAAGAAATCACTAAGGTCGCGAAGTGCACTGACTGACCTTTGCGCCTGAGACTCGGAGGAGAAGAAGATGTGGTAGTCGTCGTCTGAGATGTCCTGCACGTACAGGAAGATGGCCCGCGCGTCGCGCTTGTACAAGCTGGGGGAGACAACCGGGTCAGGCAATGTCAAGGACACGGTGTTTAGGGGACATTCAAATGACAAAGACATAGTGTTTGGGTGGATGGTCACTGGGATATGTCCTAGCTGCGAAAGGCCTAGTACAGGAATAACTAGCAACAGCACTTTTGTATAATTGTTGATACTGGAGGTATATTTCATACTATGTCACATTCATGAGACATAAGTATTGATGTTGTACTGAAAATTATGCCATTTTCATGATACTACTGCATTGGTCTTGTTGAGTTGTTTAATGCATGCCTTGTCCATGTTATCATAACTTAGATTTCGCAACAGGGATCAATAAAAAGGGTGTTTCATCTTTAACACTTTGCCTTCACATCTCGCCGATCGGCAATGTCTACCCCCCATTTGATTTTCCCCCAAATGCCTTTGCCTTTGATAGCAAGGGTACTCACTATATGAGCCTTGTGATAGCAAAGTGTTAAATGTTTTACACACTTCTCACACATTCTTCAAATAATCTGCTCACTGAACCCACGACTTGTTGCGAACTAATCTGTGTGACAGCTGTGTTGGCCTCACCTGACTCGCTTGATGGTGTCGGCCGGGAAGGTCCAGTCGGACGGTCGGTGGTCCCGCTTGTCCTGCCACACATGCCACAGGCGCACGTTCTGATGGACAGAGGGAAACGATAGACAGAAGGTAGGATGGAACATTCAATGCTAGGAGGAGGAAGAGGAGAGAAGAAAAAAAAAAAAATAATTAAAAAAAATAAATAAAAAATAATAATAATAACAATAATAATAACTAATATTAATAAATAATAATAATATTAATAATAATTGCATTTACATAGCACATATCTATGCTCTGTGCACTTTACAACTATTTTTACTCTAACCCAAGAAAACTCAGAAACGTTCCCAGCTTCTAGGGAAGCATGCTAGTTATGGCACGCTGACAACGAGCACTAAGGAAAGACAGAAAAATGCGATAGGGAGCTCTCAAGCTAGTTCATTAATAAATATTTAGGAAGGACAGAGGGCAGAAGATAAAATTTCAAAGTTTTGACAGCATGTTGACTGCAACTGCTGAAACTAGACAGAATGCGACAATTCAGCAGTTGTCACCACAATCTGATATTTGAGAAACAAATTTAAGATCATGATAGACAGAGCAAATAACATTTTCAGCTATAACCTAAGGACTTTCCAAGCAGCTAACATTTTCATTTATTGACCGCAAAACCCATTCTTAGCACACTCAAGGAAATCATCACTACAAATGTGTACTCTACCTTCTCTTGGATTTCTGCATTCACTTGGATGTAACTGGGAATAAACTCCCGGTTTGGTTCCAGCAGCAAAACCTATTGAGAGACATTTCACCAAAGGTTAACCACAGGTATAATAAGACAAAAATAATTTCACACAAAATCTCAACAGAGACCAACGTTAGAATCTCAGAACAAAAAGATCAGCCAGTGGGAGAGGGAAGTCAAAATCAATCACAAAATAAAAGAAACAGACACAACAGAACATTTTTGTTACCCGATGTGCACTATATTTTTGGCGGAACGTTATTTATTAATAACGTTCCACGTCGTCTTTGCTATTGTGCAGTTACATCCTGTGCTGCACCTGAAGAGATGGCAAGATGACATGACAGAGAACAAAACATTATCCTTTATGACTCGTCTTAACAACAGCCAGCAAGATATTGGCCAAAAGTGCAGATTCTCAAGACATTGATGAGTATCCACAAATATTTTATATAAACACTTGAACACATGGACACTGGTACAACTGGTAACAGTACTTGCAGCTGTACATGTTTTACACACCGACTGACACAATTTAGATCATTTAGGAGGCAGGCTGCTTTTAAACTGTAGTTCATAAGTGAGAGTTTCGATATGAACATATGAGCAGTACCAGTCACCCCCCTCGCTCTGACAGCAATCCTTAGATAGATAGAATTATGCACCTTCAGCGTGCTAAAGGAAACAGATCTACTTTACTGGAGACAAAATCCAAAACAAACCATCCCTAAGAGAAAGTTTAAAAATTATGTTTTTTTCCTATTCAAATTTTGTTTTTTACACACACACACACAGACACGCACGTACACACTTCTAGGTTCATTTATATTATCGCCAGAGCGACTGTTGAGAACAATAGCCATGACAATGAATACTTGAGTCAATAGTGAACATGAGCCCTGTCAGGATATGATATCGTACCTAGGTAGATCTATCTTGGTATCTGTGTTGTGTGTGAGTGTGAGTGTGTGTGTGTGTGTGTGTGTGTGTGTGTTGTATGTGTGTGTGTGTGTTGTATGTGTGTGTGTGTGTGTGTGTCTGTGTGTGTATATGTGTGTGTGTGTGTTGCGTGTGTGTGTGTTGTATGTGTGTCTGTGTGTATGTGTGTGTGTGTGTATGTATGTGTGTGTGTGGGTGTGTGTTTGTGTGTAAGTGTGTGTGTATGTGTGAGTGTATGTGTGTGAGTTCAAAGGTTGGTTGAGTATGTATGTCAAAGGTGAAAGAATGATGTTGCCAGACATCATGAGAACTCCTAAAACATTCAGCTTCAGAACGTTTTTGAACTATTTATGCCCTATCAAACTTCACAGGTCAAAGATAAAATTCAAAGCATTCTAAAAATACAAGGAATAAATGTAAAATAGTTCAGGCAATGGTGCATAAACAGCCGTGGAAATCACTACTTTCAATGTCAGATCTGGAGCCCCGACAGAACGTGTTCTACTTACAGGGAACTGGCTGCTGGTCAGCTCCGACAACGGCTTGGACACCTCGATGAAGAAATCCATCCAGAAGGTGAACAGCTGTAGTGTGCCAGGTGTGTGGTGGGGATGGTGGTTGGGGGAGGGGGGGGGGGTAAAAAGGCAAGAGGACAGAGTGAGCCAAACAGTAGATTAAACAATATAGTATAGATGGCATGGGCAAGTTTCCATAAAAATCACTATTAAAACAAGGGCAAGTTTCCATAAAAATCACGATTAAAACTTTTTTTCTTTACAACAAACAACATAATATAAATAATATGAGCAGGTTTCTATAAAAAATCACTATTAAAACTTTCTTTTCCAACCTGTAAACAGCTGTGAGTACGACTCTGTGGAGCCAAACAGTAAGACAAACAATATATAAATAACATAGGGAAAAGTTTTCATTTTAAAAAATCTATTAAAACATTCTTTTCAACCTCTAAACTGTTGAGAGTATGCAAGTAACTTTATTCAGTGTTTAAGGCCACTGGCCAACATCACATCATAAAAGTACTCTTGTTAAATAAAGTTTCCATATAAGGAAAATGTACAGGTTGTGCACATATCTCTTATCATGGGTCAAACATTATATTTCTGTCACTGGGCCGAGTCAGACTGGGGGGGGGGGGGGGGGGGAGTTAACAACAATTTCCTTTGATGGATAAAGTGTGGACAATAAAAAATAAAGTGAAATTCATTTTCTTTTTTTTTTTAAATTTATTTTTAGTAGAGATTTTACGGCGCTCGCAACTGCGTAAGGTCATATGAGCGCCAGAAGATTAGGTGTTACAGTAGAGTAACAAACGTAAAAAAGAAGGAAGGGGAGATAAGGACGATAGATGTTTGATAGGAAAGAAGGAGCAAACCACACCAGAGCACCCGCCAACCACCCACAATTCATCTTCAATTTCATGAGAGTTACACCTCTCACATAAGGGTGAATTTATTAATTTCCTGTTGAGAGTATGAGACTGTGAAACTTAACTACCCCACAGGGCAGTGCCACTGACTGAAGTGTCTTTAGGCCATTCCCGAAGGGGGAACATTAATATGTTCTTATGCACAGTAAAATTGTAAACGGGCTGATTCATCAATGTCATGCTCATAACTGTGCCTGAACTGCAACTTTTTTCCTTAATCCTTACCATCGTAATTTCACCTCTACTTCTTTTGTTTATTTGCCACACTTTTGTAACCCTCTATTTCAGAGGTGTCTTGATAGTCAAAGCAGACTTTAGGCTGTTGAAGCTAAAGAGGTGAGCAGAGTTAGCCTGATTCCCTGTAAAGACTTCTCTGTTGACATCCACCCCTTGGCGCTCATATGACCGTATGCAGTTACGAGCGCCGTAAAAACTCTACAAAAACTAAAACTGTGAACCTGAATGTGTCTGCCATGGACTCACCTGGCTGTCTTTGGAGGAGAGAACCTTGACGCTGCTCTTCCTGAATCGGCTGATCAGCGTGATGTTCCCCACAGTTGACTTCAGATACCTGCGAATAAAGATTTCATACATCAGTCGGTCACAGCAGAAAAAAACAACCCAAATTCAGATACCTGCAAAAAAAAGATTTCATACATCAGTCGCTTACAGTAGAAAGAACCCCCAAACTACCCAAATTCAGACACCTGGGAATAAAGATTTCATACATCAGTCGGTTATTGGAGAAAAAAAACAACCAAAAAACAAACAACCCAAATTTAGATATGTGAGGCAGCGTGGTGGAATCAGGCTCTCGTCAAAATAATCAAAGTGAAGAAACTTGCATTTTTCGGCTGGTTTTTTAACTTTTATAAAATTTTGCTTTTTGGCTCAACACCTTTCATGTCCATTAAAGAACTCATTTCTGTGTGGATTTTTCTGAAAAATGTCTGTTAAAGGCACAAAAAATGTAAATTTTCAGTTACCGCGGTCTCTTAAGCTAAGGAAATAACTAAACTTTGGCGGCCATTTTCTCACTAACTTTACCTCTGAAAATGGGTGACCCCCATCTCCTTCATTTGCAAATATCTCGACTTGTATTCAAGATAAATGGATATTTATTTTCATCCAAATAAAGACAAGTGAACAAGCTTTAAGATGATACCAATAACTCTACATGTCCAAAAATTGACGAGAGCCCGATTCCACCACGCTGCCTCACATATACCTGCAAATAAGGATTTCCTACATCAACTGATTACCCTAGAAAATAAAAAACAAACAACCCATCAATGACTGGACATAAAATATGTAGCAAAACATGCAGAAATATAACCATCTGTTGTGAAGGATCGGTATCTACTACCATTTCACATTGTATTAGGTCGCTTTTAAGGACGAACGGGCTAACCCAGATTTCAGGGTTTCCAGAAATCCACCAAAAGTGGGCATTGCCCTACCTATAGGAGAAGTTTGGTTTTATTGGAGTGTATAATTGTTTGGTTAAAGAGAAAACTCTCCTTGTCTTTTAAAGAAACTGTACAAGGGTCCAAAAACTTTACCTTCGATTTTCTCAAAACAGCATTTTTCAGGATAGCCCCCTTGTGCTTAACATTCTGCCATCACAAGGCTCATATTTAGTAAAAACCCTTGCCATCAAAGGCAAAGGCATTTTGGGGAAAAATCCAAATAAACTGGGTGGTAAACATCGCCGATCGGCGAGATGTGGTAGTAAAGTGTTAAAAACAACCATTTGTAAGTGTGGATGTCATCATCCCTATTGACACAATTTAGATCATGTAGAAGGTCGGCAGCTTCTCCTCTCAATTACATGTATTTTTTAAAAAAACAACAAACAAACAGCAGAAAAATCACTGACCACTCAGGAGGCTCGAGGCGGTACATGCAGTCGGCAGCCTGCACGGCCTTGCTGTAGTCCTCGGCCAGAACGCTGATCTCGAAGAAGGTGGCCACGTCCCAGTAGTTGGTCAGGGAGGACAGGCTGCCCTTCTTGCCGATCAGGTTGTTCAGCGTGATTCCTGCGACACAACACACACACACGTGTACAGTTAAACCCCCTTCCTTCCTTCCTCTGGATGGCCTCCGTTAGGGTTAAATCCCCTCTAAACAACAGACTGCCCAAGACTGCAACATCACACATAGAGGAGTCTCAACGCAGTGGAACAAGGTGCTGGTCAATTTTTAGTTTAGATTTAGTTAAGAGTTTTACCGCACTTGCAACACAATAAGGTCATATAAGTGCCGAAGATAACAGGTGTTACAAGAGAGTAACAGACATAAAAAAGAAGAAAGGGAGATAAGGATGATAGATGTTTGATAGGAAAGAAGAAGCAAACCCCACCAGAGCACCCGCCAACCACCCACAAACAACAGACTGGCCAAGACTGCAACATCACACACACACATATGTAAGTGTGCACTTAAATCCACAACCACAATCTGTCAAAGACAACCATCTGTACAAACGACCACTTCCCACTTCCCCCTTGCATTTTGTTTTAGTAAATGTGAGGCAGCGTGGTGGAATCAGGCTCTCGTCAATTTTTGGGCAAGAAGAGTTATTGGTATCATCTTAAAGCTTGTTCACTTGTCTTTATTAAGATGAAAAAATATCCATTTTATCTTGAATACAAGTCGAGATATTGCAATTGAAGGAGGTGGGGGTCACCTGTTTTCAGAGGTAAAATTAGTGAAAAAATGGTCGCCAAAGATTAGTTATTTTCTATCTTAATAGTCCGTGGTAACTGAAAATTTACATTTTTTGTGCCTTTAATCAACGTTTTTCAGAAAATTCCACACAGAAATGAGTTCTTTAATGGGCATGAAACGTGTCGAGCCAAAAAACAAAAATTTGATAAAAGTTCACAAACCTGTGGAAAAATGCAAGTTTCTTCACTTTGATTATTTTGACGGGAGCCTGATTCCACCACGCTGCCTCACAAATGTTTTATGGCACTTGCAACACAATAAGGTCATATAAGTGCCAAAGAATAGAGGTGTTACAAGATACTAACAAAAACAAAAAAGAAGGAGGTGAGATCAGGGTGATAGATGTTTGATAGGAAAGAAGGAGCAAACCACACCAGAGCATCCGCCAACCACCCACTGCTCTAACCACAATCTGTCCAAGACAATCACCAGTACAAAAGACCACTTCCTCGTTGCATTTTTTCCTGTATTCTAATGACACTGTCCAAGAGGAACACCTGTCTAAGACGACCACTTTCCCCCTAGAAAATGGGTGGTCTTCTTGAACAGGTTTGACTGTACAAAAAGGGGCTCATGTTGTTTGAGAATCCCCTGAGCAGAAGCACATTACCGTCACACACACACACACACACACACACACACACACACACACACACACACACACACACACACACACACACACGTGCGTGCATGCAGATTTGTTTGTTTTATGTAAAGTGAACAACATGGCACAATAACGGTCACTTAGTGCTGGGAAAAAGGAAGACAGACAAACACAACACAAGTAGGACCAACCACAGGCACCCTCCAACAGCCTGCACACATACGCACACACACACACACACACACATATTATTTCACCAACAAAACATGAAAGGTATCGATGTGAACTATATTCCTATCAGAGATAGATTGATGGATGTTAAATTGCAGGTCCAAATTTATCCGGAAAAACAGCACCCTGGCAAAAACATTTATGATACAAAACAGAAAGTCTGAAATACAAGATTGAGATTTGCAGACATACAGAAATTTCCATAGAGGAGATAGGCACTTCAAGCAAATTTTATATTTCAGCAGGTCAACGGTCACGGGTAGCTGTAGCACTTACCAATTCTCTGCAGTTCAGAGCAGCTGGAGAAATCTTTCCCTGAGATGACGAGCAACGTGGCCAGGTTGATGCCCGCGTACTCGTTAGGCTGCACTTCAAAACCTTTGCGGTACCTGACAATAAACACCGGAACAAAGACAAATCTTCAGCTAGTTGCCACAACAACTTTGAAGCAATAGACTAAGCCTCACGAACAAACTTTACATCATACGGTTCGCACACTCAGCAACACAAACAAACCTCAACTCGTATGGGTCACAACGTAGCAACATGTGTCACATGTCACATTTTGAGTCACATTTTGAGAATATACCACTACAGGTATCAAATTATAGATTCCTTCAAGCCCTGCATAAGGCTGAAAACAGTATTAGTCTAGCTGCTTTGGTACAACATTATAGACACTAGAAAGTGGAGAATTACAAACACACAGCGTTGATAAAATCAAACATTATCAAAACATCCCCCCCCCCCCACACACACATACACAGCCGCAGCACCCATCAGGGCTACATCGTCGGTGTAATCCGAGTCCACACACACACACACACACAAACACACACACACACACACATACACACACACAAGACTGACCAGCTGATGGCGTTGTGCAGGGCTGCATCGTCGGTGTAGTCCGAGTCCACAAACTTGTCCTTGTAGATGCGGCCACACAGGCAGATCATGTCGGGGACCGGGCTCTCCGACTTCTCTATGGCCTGCCCGGGCAGAAACAACCACCGTTACTTTTATTACATAGAGTTGGGGAAAGAGGACAGGACTACTGCCCCTTTACCTTTTCACTCTCAATGGTGTACAATCATTATTCCCAAAACCATCTTGTTTGTTATAGTAAGGCTTTACGGCGCTCACAACTTCAAAAGGTCAAACGAGCGCCCTGCGCCAAGAGGTGGATGTCAACAGAGAAGTTCTTACAGGGAATCAGACTTACCCTGCTGACCTCTCTGGCTTCAACAGCACGCAGTCTGCTTTGACTATCAAGGCACCCCAGAAATAAATAGCAGTTCAGAAGAGAGTGACAAACATACAAAATAAGTAGAGGAAAAAATGACGATAGTAAGGAAGAGGAAAGAAAAAGCAGCAGTTTCCCCTAAGTTGTTCCGACACAGTATGAGCACGACATTGATAAATCAG